TTGTGTGTGTGTGTGTGTGTGTGTGTGTGTGTGTGTGTGTGTGTGTGTGTGTGTGTGTAAAATAGAAAAAATGGAGAGAGGGGAGATATTCAGTAGGAAAGTTTGTCGATTTTTATTTTTTTAATTCCATAATCCATGGCCGTACTATTTGTGTGGATGGGTGGTGTGGGGTGGGATGGTCTGGGAGCAACACAAATAAAAAGCAAGCAGAAAAGTAGGCAGGAGCCCAAGAGCAAGGTTTGGAAGACATCGCCGTCAAGATATTGACTTGGAGGCAGAAGGTAAGAAGTCAAGCAAAGGATCTGAAAGAGCAGGTAAGAAGCAGGAGGGTGGGTTTTGATACACACCTTCAAATACTAAAATAATACAGGGCATGCAGGAACTTCCAGGAAAGGGGAAAAAAAGAAAACAAGTTTTAAGTAATGGCACACAAGGATTGGAAAGACTAGTACAAAAAGGGAAATGCATGGCTACAAAAGGAAGGCTTACCCTGAGAGCAAGGGCAGTTGGCAAGTCAACAGAAGCAAAATAATATTAGCTGTATTTGTATCTTTTCTGACAGAAGAAAAGAACTTGCTTGCTTTCCGAGTATAGGCGCAATAACAAGTACACAGCTATTCCACTTTGTTCTCATGCCCAGGACTGGGTCTATGGATTAGGTGTACCTGTGTATAGAGAAGTCACAAATTCCCTTCATCACATTAACTACTGCTTCTAAGTAATGAATATATATTTTCTTATGAAGTAGAATATATTTCCAACTGTACTGTGCTTAGAAACTTATGGGGAAAGTCTCTTGTGTGTTTTTTGCACGTATTTGTCATGGTTCAGGGTTAGTTGCATATTTGACCCTTCTCTGCTCTCTTCACCTCTTCTAGCCTAGATTCCCAGGATTCTCCTACTCTTAGACTAGGTCCTTAGGCAACATTACCCTATGTATCAGCTATGATTTCTTTCTTGGCTCAGACCCTGCAAGTTTTCCCTTTGGGAGCTCTGACCAGTGGTAAATACAGTGACAGACCCACAAGTAGCCTTTTCAAAATAAAGTCTTGTTAAATCTTAATAGGAACACACTGAGGCATTAAAGAAAAATTACTGTAATTAGTAATTACACATCATTGTAAAAACCTATATATGCTTAATCAGACATAAAGGCTGAGGTAGCCCTATTTAATCTCACCTTCTTTGTCTCTGGGGCTGGGGTTCAGTCCACTCCTTAGCAGTCCTCTTCTTCCCTCTCCCCATCCTTCAATGACTGTCCTTTTATTTACCCAGTGTTCTTTGATCCAGCTTTTTCAGAGCTGATCTTTCCCATGGCTAGAACCCCCTGTGCCAAATCAACCTGTTCAATTCACTATTGTTGGACATAAATTACCTAAGTGATTTGTTTGAACTATGTTGAGCTATTTGAAAATAGTGTCCTCTTTCCTGTACGTATGCAAGTAATCCCTGCCTGAATTAACCCCTCATAATCATATGGGGAACGATACAGTAGTGAACAGAAGGAATGCAGAATGTTCCTAAAACACTACAGGCCTTCCCAAGCCCTTTATACATAACTGGCATTGTTCCATGTTCATGGTCACATGTGTGATTTGATAGACATCCTTACATACAAATTAATTAGAAGATACTTAGTTATTTAGTGTAGTTACTTAGCAAACATATTCTATAAAGCCAAATGTGAATGAGCAGAGCTGTTAATATTTCCATCTCATGCCTATTTATTATGAGTCTTGGCAATATAAATGTATACTTTTTCTTTGGACAAGAGTAAATTAAAAGACAATATATTAAACACAACTAACCAGAGTATCCAGTTCACAGGACCAAGTGCTGCCCAGTTCACAGGACCAAGTGCTGCTTGGGGACATTAATTACCATAACATCTGATGAGAGAGTAATACAGCAGTGCACAGACAGTCCAGGAACAAGGGAGAAAGCTCGTCTCAATTTGCTGCTTACAATGAGGTTGAAGTGGTTGAGAATATGAAGATGGAAAGCAACTTGGGTGAGTGATAATGAAATGATGGAGATAAAGATCCTAAGGGAAGGAAGGAGAACAACAAAAAGATGCTGGACTTCAGACAAGTAGACATTAACAGACTCGGGGAACTGGTGGATAGGATTTCATGAGAGGCAAATGTAAAAGGAAAAGGAATCCAGGAGAGCTAGTTGTACCTTAAGGAGGCCAGATTGAGGACATAACAGACAGCTGTCCTTATGTGAAGGAAAGATAGAAAGTATAGCAAGAGACTGACCTGATTAAACACCAAAGTTTTCAGTGAGTTGAAAGTGAAAAAAGGAATCTTACAACAAATGGGGAGGTGGCCATGGTAGTAAAGATGATTATAAGAGTATCACAATGGCATGGAGGGAGAAAATCAGGAAGGCCAAAGCACAAATGGATATGCAGCTAGCAATGGACATAAGACAACAAAAAAGCATTCTGCAAGTATGTTAGAAGTAAGAGGAAGGTCAAGGAAAGTAAAGATCCCTTAACGAATGGGAAGGACTAAGATACTTACTGCCTGTTTTTGCTTTAGTCTTCACAAATAATATCTGCTCCCTCCCATGATGAGAACAGCTGGCAGCATGGATAGAGAAGATAAGCAGCCTACAGTGGGGAAGAACGGGGATGAACTTACTCAGAAAAGCTGGATGTATTGAAGTCAGCAGAGCTTAAATGATATGCACCACAGAGTAGGAACTGCCTACATTAATTGCAGAGGCACTGGGTATTCTCTTTAAGAACTCATGGAGGTTAAGTGAAGTGAAATATAGTACTAATGTTTAACAAAGAGAAGATGAACAATCCAGAGAACTACAGGCCTGTCAGACTGATACCTAGAAAGACTTTGGAGCATGGTATCAAGGAATCTGTTTCTAAGCACCTGGAGGAGACCAGGGTGATCAGGAACAGTCAGCATAGATTCAGCAAATGCAAGCCATGCTTGATCAAGCTCATTTCCTTTTATGACAAGGTGATAGGCTTTGTGCATGGGAGTAGAGTAGTGGCTGCAATGTACCTTTCACAAGGGTTTTGACATTATCTCCTGTGACATTCTCATTAGTCAGCTAAAGAAATACAGTCTAAATAACAGAACAGCAAAGTGGATCCATAACTGGTTGGATCATCGTGCTCAAAGAGTGGACATCAATAGCTCAATGTCTAAGTTGGAGGAGGTATCAAGAGGGGTTCCTCAGGAGTCTGTCCTGAGTCTGGTACTGTTTAGTATCACCATTAAAAATTTGGAGTCTGGTACTGTTTAGTATCGCCATTAAAAATTTGGAGGATTTGGAGTGTACAGTTAGTACATTTGCATATGACACCAAGCTGCGTTGAGCTGCAAACACTTTGGAGCAAAGAATTAGAATTCAGAATCACCCTAAGGAGTAGAAAAAGCCCACAACTAAATGAAATTCAACAAGGACAAGTGCAAAGTCCTTCACTTAGAGCAATTATATGCCCAAATACAGAATGGGAAATGATTGGCAAAGCTGCAGTATTGTACAAAAAAAAAAAGAAAAGAATCTTTTTTTTTTTCTTTCTGGGTTTAGAGTGCACCAAAAGCTGAATGAATCAACAGTGTGGTCTTGTTGCAAAACAAACTAATTACATACTAGGCTGTCCAATTTTGGGCACTGTACATCAAGAAAGATATTGCCAAATTAGAAATGGTTCAGCAGAGAAGAAGAAAAATTATTGAAGATATAGAAAACATAATTTATGAGGATAGGCTGAAAGACAAAGGCTTATTTAGTCTGAAGAAGAAAAGAGTTAGGGGAATATTTGATAGCAGTCTTCAAATATCCAAAGAGCGGTTATAAAGAGGATGGTGATGGATTATTCTCTTTGGCTGTCAGAGACAAGACAAGAAAAAACAATCTGAGATTGCAACAAGGGAAATTTAGGTTGGATTTTAGGAAAAGCTTTCTAACTGTTAGGTGGTTATGCACTGGATTATATTATCTATAAATCTATAGGTGACTTCACAGGTTGTAAGTGCTAGACTTCCCTATCCCTGGAAGTTTTTAAGTTAAGCAAATGCTTGATAGGAAAGATTCTGCCTTAAACAAGGGGTTGAACTAGATGACATCATGATTTTTCTATGATTTTTTGATTACTTCAATATTGCTGTTTCACATAAAGAGTTTTGTTTTTGGAAGGTTTTTTTTATTCCTGAGATACATTCATCATTCTGCTACCCATATGGATAGTTATTTTGCTTAATACTGGACATTGCTGTAGACTTCTTACTGAGACTAAATTCCCAATCAGATTTTGGGAGTTTTGTCTCAGTGGGAGTAAGTGAAGTTCTGGCTTCACTGAAGTCATGGAAAAACTGCCATAAGGCAAGGGTTTCATTCATCTGGATCCCACTCAGCAAATCAGTTGTCAGTCTTCTCCTCCAGAAAGCAACCTAGATTACATGCCAAAATGAAACATTTAAACCCCACTTCTTGTTTAAAAACCCCAGCAACCACAAAGCAAGACATTTCTGCTGCATGAGTGGTGGTGTGAAGAAACATTCCATAAGCACAATGGATAACTGGGTTTATATATGATTTAGCTAGCATCCTGATCAGAAAATGTTCACCTACTGCTACCACCAGAATAAGCAGACATCATTTTGAAGTGCTTCTAGGTCTGCTCATTCATATCTGTATTTTGGTTTTGCCATGATGTGATGTACACAAT